GACGACTGCGTATGGGAGACACAATATTCTCCCATTGGGCACCAATTAAAACGTTAACATTAAACAACTAGTCCTTCTGATACGTCTAATGACAGCGGCTCTGATGATTCAGGCACATTCCTGCTAAGAATAGGCCGAAGCACCTCGGTTTGAACTCAGTTCAATTCATTTTTACTTACACAGCAACAAATCACAACAAGCTTTACATTGTACAGTACATCCTATAATAACAGACACAGAGAAAACTCTTATCCACACACAACACCATCTCAGTTCTGTTCACCACAGCTCAATTATACACATTATGACATAATCATGTTGCCTAGCAACAAGCTTTTAGCATATATAAACTTTACCACCATATTATTATTTATTGATTGATTTTTTTGTATATCAACTAACAATATTGTAGTTTTAGTATTTACTGATTCATCTAAAACAAAATAAATAAAGTAGTACCAAACACCAGTGCACCCTGGGAGAGGCGCCAGGCCCTGACAGGCCAAAGCGTTTAGTGCAGTACAAGGAGGAGGTTTAAAAAACATATTTCATGCGCTGCAACGTTTTTGCAGCAGCTGGTCTTTGCTGCAAAACGAGCGACCTTTGTAGCAGCAGTGCTGTAAGCTAACAAGGTAAAGAGCAGAGACACTGACCTTGGACGCATTAAAGCCTTTGCTTTTCTTTGTGTCAGAGCTGTTGGGAAGTGTTGCCAGCTTGAGGTGGGAGCCAAACAGGGAGGCTGAGCCCTCCTGCATTATCATCACCTGCCAAAGGAAAATCAGCAGCTTAAATGAGCAGAGAGTTCTTTGCTTTCAGTAAATGTAGAGTGTTCAGTCTCTACCAGGAAAGTTGCTAATGAATCAGTCATTTACTGAGTAATATCACTGTGTTTTTAGAGTCAAGTACCAGAAAAGAGGACATGAGTAAAGAATGTTCAGCTTTACTGTCAAGCAGCTTGTGCGAGTACAAATTTGTTCTATATTACATCGATTTCATCCCAGTCATCCCAGTGACATCAGTGCCTCACATGTACATGTAACTGACTTGAAAAAACTGCGTCAAAAACAACAACAATCAAAGAAAGAACAACAAAGGATTCTCACATGTACAGATAAAGATGGGTATCATGAAGATTTAGAGTAACAGATAAATGCCACAGTTACCAAACACACACAAAACCATATGACCATAGACTATACTGGTGGCTGCACTCGAGGTTCACCTGAAGCACAACAAGTGAGCACCGCTCCAACTCCAATCCCCAAACGTTTGATCGAATGCTTATATAGGTCATCATGTGCTACCACATGCCCCTCTTCATGAAACGTCTCACGTGGTCTGAAATCTTACTCAAGAACAGAACCCGATTCCTGCCTAGCCTAAACATTTAGCTAACTATGGCTAATCATGAGGTGGACCTGCTGTAATGTTAGATGGCAGTGCAGGGGCGGGGCCGGTGTCCTGCAGGTTACAGAGCTCACCCTGGGTCAACACACCTGAATCACATGACTAGCTCATTACCAGGCCTCTGGAGAACCTCAGGACATGTTGAGGAGGTAAATAAACTGGATTAAAATGAAGTGCACATGAAAGTCCCAGTGAGGGAATTAGAAAGCTTAGCAAAGGATGGCAAGTTAAAGATGTGTTTATTGAATTCATTATCAACATTTTAACAACATAAACCGCTGTTCCACGATTCCTGGCACAGCTTTAAAAAGAAACACACGCTTTATGTTTAGTAACAGCGTTTGATTTTCATACTGCACATTATAGCAAACATGTCCACTTTGGTCCATACACAACCACAGATTTGTGACTTTGTGAAGCTAAACTGTGCTGCTCTGTTATTTTTGGCAAACTCCGGGAAGACAGTCGCACTATGTTAACATAGATGTAAAAGCTCCAGACAAGAAAACAACCAAAACCTCTGCTGGTGTGGAGCAGCAGGGCCGTACATACACTGCCCCGTGAACGCCGTGTTTCCATGACTGTAGGCGTCTTATGTGAGCACCGGATCTGACAATCGTTCAAGTGCACAATTTAGTAACGGGACACATTTGAAACAAAGCCAACTGGTTTTGACTGAAATCCCTTACATTAAAGTTTAACATCTGCAGCAACAATAACTGCTACATTGTGTCATTGCTGAGGTGACAACATGTAACAGGGAGGACGGAGTCATTATGAGCTACAAGCCTGTTAGAAATCTTACCTTTGAGTCTTCTGAACTTCTTTTGTGAGGATTTCGTTGCTGTGAAGGACAACAGAAGAACAGCGTGACAATCTTGGTAAACAGAAAAATACAAACTGCACTCATTATTATTCATATCTCACATATGCAGGGTAAACTAGTTCAGCCATTGACTGTCCTCTCCAGACTGACTGTAGCACTTCAGCCCACTGTGAGGCCAATCAGAGGCTCCAGACATGTCAAATAAAGTGAATCAATACTGAAGTGCAGTTTTAAAACCCTCAGATTTACTGAGGAAAGTAAACTAATGTCATTGCTGTAAAGACTATACACATATACTCCACACATACTACATCCATGATATAAAGCGACAGCCCAGGATGGAC